AACAAGTAAACAAACTCTATAGCCTGTTAGATGGTGATAAGTGCTATTAGAGAAAAATAAGTCAGTAAACAGACAGAATGTTGGGCCAGGGGTTTAGTTCAGTGGCACAAGCCCCTGCTTGGCAAGCGTGAGGTCCTAAGTTCAATCCCATACCAAAAAAGAAAAAAAACCCAGACAGATCGTCAAGGGAGATTAGGAGGTTTACAATTTTACGTGGGACCATCTGAGAAGGCCTCTGTATGAAGGTGACTTTGAAATACAAACCTGGGTGCAGAGAGAGGGGGAGCCATGCAGAATTCCTTGGGGAAGTGTATTCTAGGTAGCAGATGCAGAGGCCCTGAAGCAGGAGCATGCCAGATGTGTTCCAGAAACAGCATTCCAGAAGCAGCTGGGCCCAGTGCAACTGGAAGGGAGCCAGAGAGTCATAATAATAATTAGGGCATCTAAAATGATAGTGTTCAAAATGATGACCAGTGTCTTAGCTGCCTTCTTCATCACTGAGACAAAATATGTGATATCCACAACTCTAAGGAGAAAAGGTTTATTTTGGCTCGCAGTGTGTAGAAGTTCCATTCCATAGTCAGCTGGCTCTAAGGCAGAGGGGCATGGCAGAGGGGAGAGGGGTTTGACAGAGACAAAGTGACTCATGGCATGACAGTGGGAAGCAGAGAGCTATCAAGGGAGGAGGGAAGGAGATATTCTTTCAGGCACAATCCCAGTGACCCACCTCCTCCAACCAGATATCTCCTCCCAACTTCACATTTAGCTATAAACTCATCAGTGGACTAATCTATCAGTGAGCATTATGCCCCCATGATCCAGTCATCTCCTTAAAGCCCCATCTATGAATGCATGAGGCTTTGGGGAGACATCTAAATATAAAGCCCAAGAACCAGGAAGCTATGTCAGTGGATGTGGTAAGAAGTGGTAGGATCCTGAATACACGTGAAAAAGCCAACCATGTAAATGTAGGAAATAGCATGAGAGAAAGGAGTCAAGAAGAATGGCAAGATTTTTGACCTGAACAACTAGTGAGATGCAGTTGCTAGGCACTGAGAAGGGGACCACTTTGAAGGAGTAGTTTGAGTAGGAAGATCAAAAGTATGATGTGGATCTAGCTCTGAGATGCCTAGCGGACATCCAATACAGAGATACACATCTGGGGATTCAGAGACTTCTGAGCTGAAATGTATGTTGCAGAGTCATCAGGACACAGTGTCCTCTTTAAAGCAGATAAGACCATGGCAATGGAGTAAATATAGAAAAAAGGAAGAATTTTGAGGATGGCATCTTACAATTCTCCAATGTTTGGAGGTCAAGGCAATGAAGAGGAACCAGAAAATGAATGGCCTGCAAAGTGAAGCAAATAAATCAGGACAAATGACTCACAGAGAACATGTAATAGCCTGAACTTAGGTAGTGCTTCCCTACCGCACTTGCCTTTTATTCTACTGACATGTATTCAAAACACTTCCTTCTCCATTTCTTATCTCTGATGCTCATCAAGAATTCACAGGAAAGGGTGTTGGCAGAATCTGTTACTTTCCAAACCTACAATTAAAAAAAAAAACCCTATAGATGTTAAATTTGATTATTTAGTTTCATTATTTATAATGAAAAATAAGGCTATTAGCTTGACTATGAAATTTGTGAAAGTAAAACATTATCAATAATATTCAGGTTTGCTAGCATTATGGCCATCAGATGGGCTGCATTTAATAATTATTTACAAGTTTCTTTTTAGAGTAGATAAAATAATGAACACTCTTTGGGAAAAAACAAAGAGACAGGTGTAGGCACAAGTAAAGAATGAAGGCAGAATGGTGCTGAAAATATATTAACTTAATTAAAAGGAAAGTTAGAGTAAATCCCTAAAAGGAAACTACAATAATCATTGTTAGGAAGTTATCCCTAAAATGTCAAACATAGATGCCTGATTTAAGTCTTTTCTCATTTTGAATCTTTTGTGGGGGGAAATGCTGTAAAATTTCATAAACATTGCAAGAAGGAAATTGATGTAAATGTAGTGTAAGACAAAATGTAGTTAAATATAGTGTAAGTCAAAAATGTTAAGTAATGTCCAGGCACAGGGGCACAAGGTACCACATACCTATGATCCCTGTACTTGGGAGATTGAGGCAGGAAGAAAGCCATGAGTTCGAGGCCAGCCTGGGCTACATAGTGAGTTCAAGGTCAGCCTGAACTACATAGTAAGACCCTGTCTCAAAAGAAAAAAAAGAAAAGAACTAGAGTTGATTATAGCATTATATGAAAACTATTCTTTTTGGGGAAGGGAGTGTTGGGAAATGAACTCAGGACCTTCCCACTGAGCTACATCTCTAGTCTTTTTTCTTTGTATTTTAAGACAGGGTCTTGCTAAATCGTTAAACTGTTCAGGCTGGACTGGAATTTGCAATTCTCCTGCCTTAGAGTCTCAGAGTGTTGGGATTATAAGAATGTGCCACCACACACGGCTAAAATAATTTTAAAAAATCAAAATGCAAAAAGTAGAATAATTTTAATACACATACTTAAAAAGTTAATGGGATAATAATGGCTGATTTTAATTTTCATTTTAAAATGTTTTCACGCAGAGCAGGATGGTGTAAGCTGTAATCCCAGCACTTGGGAGGCTGAGGCAGGAGGATCACTATGAGTTCAAGGCCAGCCTGAACTACATAATGAGACATTGTCTCAAAACACAAACAAACAAACAAAAAAATCAAACACTTCTAAAGTTTCTATGATAAATATTTCTGTAAGAAGACAAAAAAAAATAGAAGCTACTAAAAGGCTGGTAGATGTCAAAACTCAGTGAATGAAATCAAAGCAATTTCATCTAGTACTCTGTTCAGAAGCTAACTCCACTGGGTATATCTCTAATAAGATACAAAAGGATTTTGGTTTGCTTTGCATGTTGTAAAACCAATATGAAGAAAATCAATTTTAATAGATGTGGTTGGAAAGCAACATAATATTAACAAAGTTAAACTGAAAAAAAGCTTTAAATTTAAAAGCAAATGCTTGAAAGAATGTGGCTCTTTCTCTCTATATATATATATCCTTATTACTAAATTCTTATTCGTATTCATCTATAGTAGTGATGCACTGTAGCACAACTTTTTGTGGCTTTTCTTTTCTTTGAGACAATATCTTGCTATGCAGTCCAGGTCAGCCTTAAACTCACAATTCTCTTGCCCCATCCTGCCATATGCTGGGATAACAGGTATGCACCACTATACCTGGCTGCACAATACTTTCGTTTTTGTAACAGGGATTCAACTCACGACCTCATTGCTTGCCAGGCAGGCACTTAACACTGCTGAGCTAAATCCACCCCACTTCGCACAACACTTTTTGAATGCAGTTTGGCAATACCTGAAGAATCATAAAATGTACCTATTCAAGATGGTATTCCCATGGTGGAAAAGTTTGTCAGTTTCTTATAAAACTAAGTAAGTGACAACCTTAGGAATTCCAAGAACTGCACTCTAGGCAATTATTCTGAGAAATGAAAACTTGTATTTACACAAAAATGTGTACATGTTTGTTCACAGCAAGTTTACACACAATAGCTCCAAAGTGGAGACAACCTAGATGTCTCTCAAAGGAAGAATAGCTAAACCAATCATGGATACGCAGCAATAAAAAGGAATTATTGATACGTACAACTTGCATAAATTCCAAAGAATTATGCCAAGATCCTAACAGATTCCATTGCAGGAACACTTTTGAAGTAACAAAATTATAGAAATTGGAACAGATTTGCTGTGGCAGGAGCAGGGCTGAAGTAGGTGTGGACCTAAATGGGCAACTATAGGGATCCTCATGGTGATGAAAATGTCTTGACTGTAAAAATGTCAATATTCTGGTTGTGATGTAGTATAGTTTTGCATGATGTTATTTACTATTGAGCAAACATGAACTTGGGCTCTCTCTGCATTATATAAGAATTACAAATACAATGATTTCAAAATAAATTTATTTTTTAAAAATTCCCCTCAATTTTTGGTCAGCTACTTCTAGGTCTGGAAATCTATCCTAGGGATATAAATCATAAGAAAAAAAAGCTGAATATACTAGATGTTCACCACAGTGTTACTTACAACAGAGAAAAGAAATGGTCTAAATGTCCAAACAGGGAAAGAGGTTATATCATGACAGCTGAGAATTAGTTGATGCAACAATAAACTGTTCTTTGAAAAAAGAGGATACAAAATTGTGGCACAATATGACAGCTCCAGTAAGAGGACTAGGTATATCATGAAACTTTTAAAGCAGTACTCTGTGAAATTCTAGCAGAAATGGTTTCCTTCCAGCAAACTCTATGTGATGTTCCATGATTTTTAAGAGGCTTAGGGTGGGAAGGAATAACATCAAAAGACAGCTGCAAACATCAGCATCCAATAAAGTTCTTTCAATTTGTCCCTCCAGCAGTTGCGCAAATTTCGTTTTCAGATTCCTTCCAGGCTTTGACCAGTGATGCACACTGGGGGCCCCCCAAGAACAGAGCCCAGAGTGGCTGCGATTAGGCACTGGTCACCCCTACAGTCCCACCTCAAGACCCCATCAGAAACCCAGGAAAGTGGGATGAGGCTGCTGCCCAGAGGTAATGACCACTCCAAGGTTACGACGGAGAGCCTAGCGGGTTCGGGCTGGTCCTGGACTCTCCAACTCTGACTGCGGTTGCGTTCTCTGCCCCACGCCACTCGCCCCATCCAGATCCACGACCCCACTGCTCCCAAAGGCTCCACAGCAGCGACTCCCACATTGCAGGGTGTCGACTGCCATGGGCTAGGCTTCAAGCTCAGTTTCCTGGGAGGAGGAAACTGAGCTTGAAGCCTAGCCCATGGCAAAGACCCTCCTCCATCTCACCTTTTTTCGCCCTCTCAACCCAGCTTTTCCCGACTCCGGGAAGAACCGGGAAGAGAAGGCGGAGGGCAGCGAAGCGCCGCCTAATAAATACCATGGCCCGGTCCCGCCCTAAAACGTCACTTCCGCCCGGCGGAAACATGGCGACGCCCAGGCCGTGCCACGCAGACTTCCGCCCCGCGCGGAGATTGAGGGCTGGTGGAGGGTCGCTCCGCAGGTGAAGTCGTGACGAGCGGTGTGGAGCTTCAGCCCACTTGCATCCAGCCTCGAGCCCGACAGGGGGTGTTTGGAGAGAGGGTGGGTGGCAAGCGAGAGGCTCCAGCTGGGGTGCTGGGGCAGCCTTGCCACGTGGGAGGGGAGGGGCCGAAGCGCGGCGGGAGCAACGCACTGCCGGGGTGGGGGGGCGAGAGCCACGTGGGTGGGGTTCCTCCCCGAGCCCGCTCGTCGGTCCCTTGGGGTGACTTGGTTGTCGTTCTCTCGCAGGCGACATGTCGGAAGGAAACGCCGCTGGTGAGCCCAGCACTCCAGGAGGGACGCGACCCGTCCTGCCTGGGTCCCGGGGACTTATCGGGCGGCGACCCGCACCCGCTCTCCCACCAGGCCGCCTTCCCTCCATGCGCTCCAGGGACCTCACCCTCGGGGGAGTCAAGAAGGTACCTGATAGCGCGTTTCTAGACAGCGTCAACTCCCTCAAACACCAGACCCTTCGGATGCAGCTCCTGTTCTTGCAGGGCCTACTGTATGCCTCTTAAACTTTGTCCTCAGACTCACACCTACCCCTCTTCAGATTTTAGGGAACCTAGTCTATTTTCAAGTGTAGATACAGGATACAGTGTGTTCAGGTATTTCTGAGAGATAGCTGAAGGGCAGTGATCTAATTAGCCCAAGACTTTCAAAAGCAACTCAAGCAGTGCTTATTTGTTTTGTTTTGTTTGTTTTTTCGTGGAGGGGTTAGGGTTTGCCACAGGGCCTGGATTTGTAATCTAGGCAGCCCTCAAACACTGCAGCGAAGTACCTCCCAAGTTTGACGTTACAGGCATAGGCCATCATGCAAGCCTTACTTGTTTTTATTGAGTGTTTTGGATGTTTTAAAATGCTATGGGATCAGGCAGATTTAAACTTTACTTGTGGTTTTGAGGGTTCAGAATTCCCGGATGAGAGTTTTGAGGGTTCAGAATTCACCTTTGATACAGTGTATGATGAGTCCTAGGCATAGCATTAGAGGGTCTGTGTCCTATCCCATTAGGGAAGGTAGAATGACAGACATGTAAAGTGGCCAGCTTTTTAAAGAATTCACTTAGCCTTGGAAAATTCTGCTTACAGTCTGTTTTCCATTAGTGAGTACTGCCTAATCTCATGTGTCTTCCCAACTTAAACCTGCCTGCTAGAGCTTTCCCTGAGATACTCACTGGCCAGTCTCCAGAGCCTTGTGAAGACAGGGGGTGAGATTAGCTCCTTTGCTTTGGAATCTGGGAGTTTCTCCTGTCAAGAGGCATAAGCTAGGTTGCTAGTTAAAATGGTTTGGATTTCCCTTTGGTAACTCCCCTGCCTCCATGGCATGACAGTCCTTGGTCCTCAGGCACCTAACTTGTGTCTATAAAAACCAACAGCAGTGTGAAATGTACAGAGGAGAGCTGTGGTGATGTCCATTTGGAGTTTTAATTTTCCTCAGTACTTTGGGAGCAGGACTTAGCAAATCAATGACTCCTGTATTTTACTTTCAGAAAACCTTCACCCCAAATATCATCAGTCGGAAGATCAAGGAAGAGTAAGTAGCTACGTCTGATGAAAACTTACCCCTTATTTACTGAATTTGGGAGTTTGGGGAAGTAACTGGTTGTGTGGCTTAGAAATTCAAATTTGTGTCTCTAGTTCTTTTTACTAGTGGATTTTGGCCCTGACTCACAGGTGATTGTAATGTGCAAGCTTTAAAAAAAAAACTAATGCTTGAGGATCCATGCATTAGTCAATATTCTGTTACTGTAATGAATACATGTGCTAATCAATTTATTAAAGAGAAAAGGTTTGTTTTGAGTCATAGTTTTGGTCCATGATTGGTTGACTTTGCTGCTTTTGAGATTGTAGCAAAGTAGCACATCATAACATAATGTATGTGGTAGAGTGAAGCCCCTCCTCTCCTGGACTAGATGCCAAAGAAGGCTCCACTCTCCCCTTCAAAGGCACACCCCATGACTGGAAGACCTTCAGGGTTCCACCTCAGAGTTTTTATCATCTCTCAGTAATGCAAGCTGGAGACTTAAGGTTTTAACATGTATGGGCCTTTGGGAGATGCTTAAGATCCAAACTGAGCAGTCCATCTTTTTTTTTTTTTTTTGTACCTGGGATCGAACTTACGACCTTGCACTTGCCAGGCAGGAGCTTATGCCACTGAGCTAAATCCCTGGTATAGAAGTCCGTCTTTAGAAACTTGTGTAACACTGATTTCACAGTGTAAAGTGTTGGCTCAGGGTGGCGAGCCACTAATTTAAATAAAGATGGATTTTGCTTTCGCTTATATTCCTGTCTTCCTGCTTTGAGGCAATAAAAAAACAAATCCAGTTTTGAAGAAGATGGTAAAGTAAAGCAAACTAAAGGGCACTTACCTGTCAAGGAAGTGAGAACAGTGCCAAACTTAGGATTGACTTCACTCTGCATAGATTTCTTACTGGCTTATAAACTCTGCGTAGTAGGGGAGAGAGTAGGGCCAGTTTTCTGAATCACGGGGAGTGAGTGGATTCCTTTCATTCATTTTCTTTTCCAGGCCTAAGGAAGAAGTAACCGTGAAGAAGGAGAAACGTGAGCGGGATAGAGACCGCCAGCGGGAGGCCCATGGACGAGGTCGGGGCCGTCCCGAAGTGATCCAGTCCCACTCAATTTTTGAGCAGGGCCCTGCGGAAATGATGAAGAAAAAAGGTATAAGCAAAGGATCCCCAGTGGGTTCCAGTTCAGCCAGCCTGAGAGGATAAGAGCGACGAAATTGCCCCACTCCCAGTATAGTTGCCCCCGTTGCTCTCTTCCTTGTTTATCTTTAGTAAACAGAATGATTTTCCACAGGGAACTGGGATAAGACGGTAGATATGTCGGACATTGGACCCTCTCATATCATCAACATCAAAAAGGAGAAGAGGGAGACGGATGAAGAAACCAAGCAGATCCTGCGCATGCTGGAGAAGGATGACGTAGGTGCTGGGAGCTGGGGGAGCTTTCTTGTGGCTACCCAAGAGAGGGTCAAGGCGAGCTCCTTGGGGTCCTGGAATCTGGGGAGCAGCTGGAACCTTTGGCTAGAAGAGGACTGAGGTGGGCTGATCAGGTACTTGTGCGGGTAGGCTGTGTGACCACAACTGTTCTCTGGCAGTTCATCGATGACCCTGGACTGAGGAATGACACAAGAAACATGCCTGTACAGCTGCCACTGGCTCACTCAGGGTGGCTTTTTAAGGAAGAGAATGAAGAGCCCGATGTTAAGCCCTGGCTTGCTGGTCCCAAGGAGGAGGACATGGAGGTGGATGTACCTGCTGTGAAAGGTGTTTTGTGTTAACTTTTCTTCCTTTCCATGGCTGCCCCAGGGAACCCTCAGCGTGAGCCTCTGAGCTGGCCACTCATGAGTAGATCCTCTCCTGTTCCAGCTGAAATATTGGAGCTAAACAAAGACATATGCCCCCCTTCATCCCCCCAAAACATTCATGTAATAACATGATTTTGCAGACCCTGCCTCAGATGTCCTTCCCACCCCAGTAGTACTGAGGGTTGAACCCAAGGCTTTTGCACTAAACTGCATCCCCATTCCTTTTTATTTTGAGATAGTCTTGCAAAGTTGCTAATTTGCCCGAGCTGGGCTTGAACTTGGGATCCTCCTGTCTCAGCCTCTGAGGATGCTGGGGTTATACACGTGTATAATCCAAATTGCCCAGCTAAATATGTCATTTTAAAAGAGTCCTGTGCCACTGGAATGTGCTGTCTCTTGCCTCTCTCTGGCTTCCTAACTAAATAACAGGAATAAATTGGGGTGAAGAGATGGCACAGAGGATGACTACTTGATGTCTCTTTTGTTTCACTGGAGCAGTGAAAGAGGAGCCTCGAGATGAAGAGGAGGAGGTCAAGACGAAGGCTCCTCCCAAGGCAGCTAGGAAGACCCCAGGCCTCCCAAAGGACATGTCTGTGGCAGAGCTGCTCCGGGAGCTGAGCCTCACCAAGGATGAGGAGCTGCTGTTCCTCCAGCTGCCGGACACCCTCCCCGGTCAGCCACCCACTCAGGATATCAAGCCTGTCAAGACAGAGGTGCAAGGCGAGGATGGACAGATGGTAGTCATAAAGCAGGAAAAAGACCGGGTATGTCGAGGAGCAAGTTCTGGGAAGATTTGGGGCAGGGCGCTTGGGAACAGAAGCTGACCTGTAGGGGGCTGGGGGTGAACTGCCCAAGCCAAGACGAGAATAATGGGTACTTGTTCTTAGCACTAGAATGAGTGAGTCTTGGGCCTTGCACTTCCAGGTCCAGCTGTGTGTTTGTATGTGTGTGTTTGCTTTGTGAAGCTCGTGTACCATCACTCAGCTTCAGCAGCTATGTATATTTTGTCTCTGGGCTCAGTCCAACCTTTCTCTCAGAAGCAGAGTGGGCTTCATTCATGAAAAGTGGAAGAACTTAACTCCCCACACAGTTTCCATCCCCTGATTTTCCCCCCAGGAAGCCAGGTTGGCAGAGAACTCTTGTACCTTAGCTGACCTGACTGAGGGCCAAGTTGGCAAGCTGCTCATCCGCAAGTCAGGGAAGGTACAGCTCCTCCTGGGCAAGGTGACTCTGGACGTGACCATGGGAACCACTTGTTCCTTCCTGCAGGTGCAAGCTGGGGGCCGGGGAGAGGCTGTGGGCGGGGCTGGGAAGGGGCCAGTGCTAAGGAAGGTTGAGCAGTTCCTGGGCACATCACATGAGTCCCAGGACTAAGGCCGGACATGGTACTGTGGTTGTCATTGCTGTCCCTTGTCCTTCGGCAGGAGCTGGTGTCTGTGGGCCTTGGAGACAGTAGGACAGGAGACATGACAGTCCTGGGACACGTGAAGCACAAACTTGTCTGTTCGCCTGATTTTGAATCCCTCTTGGATCACAAACACCGGTAAAATGAACAGATGGAGGAGGATGGCGACTGTGCCCACGGCTGCCACCTGCTCCAGACGTTTTGTTCTCGAATCCATGTGACCCAGAAGGGGCCTGTGGAGCCCACCCACTCCAGCCTTCAGCTGCTGTCATCTCAGTTTCCCCCACACAGCTCCCTCCCATGGCAGCTGTGAACTGCACAATGACCTTCCTGCGGACGGATACAGATGGCACATCCTTGCTCCTGGGGACCTGTCCCTGCTATTTATTTTTATATTTATGTCTTAATCTCCTCAGTTAACTGCGTCCTCCCAAGGTAGGTTTCATAGGCCCCTTATCTTGGGGTGCTCAGGCTGCAGAGGTGGGAACAGTGTGGCTTCTGTCCTTCCCAGAGGCGGACAGGAGAGAGCAGTGTGGAGTCTGAGACCTAAGCACTCAGCCCCAGATCATGAGTTCCTCATTCTGGGCCCTTGGACAAACTATGTGACCTTTCTGAGCCTCATATTCCTCATCCAACAGCAATGGGGATAATACCTACCTCACGGAGTTGGTGTAAGGATCAGGTGGACTATTGTGGATGAAAACTTGCACAGGCCAGACTTATACCTATAGGCTCTCAATAAACTGTGGTTTTCTCTCTCCTTTGCCTGTCTGTTTTTGAACCAAAGACTCTTTAAGGAGTCTCAGAAGAAATGCCTAGAAGCCAGGCATGGTGGTGCATGCCTGTAATCTGAACACCCTCGGAGCCTGAGGCAGGAGGATCGCAAATTCAAGACCAGCGTGGACAGTTTAGCAACTTTAGAGACCCTGTCTCAAAAGAGAAGGGCTGGGGATGTAGCTCAACATGAAAGTCCTGAGTTTAATCCCCCTTGCTACCCAACAACAAAGAAATGACACCAGCTTCCCCCATTTCCCCTTTGGTCCTTTGTTCTTACTGCGTGTCCCATCCAGGGACCTGAGCACCTGAGCCTGGTGCTTCCTGTGCATGTTACTGGCCATAGATTCTGTTGGAAGAAATCAGAGAACCCCACCTGTCACCTGTGAAAGCCTCTGGGCGATGTGGCCAGGATTCATCTCTTTGTACCTACGCCTGGCAGCAAGTAGCCAGTACTCTTCTGGCTTCTGTTAAAATACTTACTGAAGGAAACCTGTGGCCACTTACAGGACAGTCTCACTATAGTCAGATAGTGCTGAGAAAAAAGTCAAACCTTCAATAAAATAGACATTTTTGTTTGAGAGGATCTTTGTTTTTTTTTGTTTTTTTTTTTTTTCAGATGCTCTCCTTACAGAATAATTTTATTTTTATTTTTTTTAATTTTATTTAAGGAGAAAAGAAAAAAAAAGCAGAGAAAGGGTACAAGTTATACAGATTTGCAGAAAAAAAATGAACAGTAGGAAATCACTAGTTAATGGATTACATACTGTCATCTTAGAAATAATTGTTCAAGTCACAAAATTAAAGCTTGTAAAGTGGACATTCCATCAATGATACTGCAAACAGTTCTGTTCAATGATCCAATAAAACTCTGTGATATCATATTCTATCTTATACACTTAAATATACATGCAGTTATATAGTTCAGAGCACTTTCTTTTCCTCTCTTTTGTACAATGACTATTACACATTTTGGGTTTCATTGCTTTGAGAGGATCTTTGTAGTAATTTAGGTTGGTCTGGAACTCACTAGGTAGCCCAAGCTGGCCTTGGAACTCAGTGATCCTCTTGTATTTCTCTTTCCTCAGCCTCCCAAGTGCTAGGATGACACAAGCATGTGCCACCATGTCCAGCTAAGTTGTTTTTAGAGATTGACACTTGACAGGTGACTTCTCACTTCAAAAACTTTGCCAGATGTGATGATACACACCTGTCATCCCAGCTACTCAAGTGGCAAGCAGGAGGATTTTGGTAGTTGAGTCCAGCCTAAGGAGTTGAGTGAGCTCTTGACTTAAAATTTAAAAAGTGCCAAAGATGTAGCTCACTACTCCCAGGGTTCAATCCCTAGTACTGCATGAAAGAACAAATGAATGAAAAACTTGGCGTTCAAAAGAACCCCCTTGTCCCCTATCCTAGTGTCACCAGATCTGTCTCAGTTTGGCTCCCAGCTGCTGATTCCAGGCTCACCATGTGATCTCACTTCCTTGACCAGGGTCACCGTACTGTGTAGTCCAGGGAGGAGCAGCTTCACTTTGCATCCCTTTGTGGGTAGGGCTGAGACATTGGGGGTCAGAGCAAAGCCTCACTAGGGTTTGGTGGTGGGTGCCACGCTGAAGGTATCATTTCCCCTACTATGTTAGCACACTGCTTCTGTGACAAGTGAAGTCCAGGCCCAGTGATCAATGCCTGTGACTGTCAGGTGGCCCAGGGCTCTGGACATAGCTTCCTTTAGTCTCACCTGTGTGCTCCTGTGGCCTGCTATCTGGGACTTTTTCTACAGAGCCCACTACATTGCCTTCTCTGGGGCAAAAAGCTATGTCAGCTGTATTGGGTGGTGTCCTGGTCTTTCCTCAGGACAGAGGCCTTGGCAGTGTGTGCCACCGAAGTCCTTTTGGTCTGAGATAGCTCTGGGCTTCAGCCCTTTGTTCTGTCAAACAGCCAGTGCACTATCTGTATTGTAATTCTCTTCTGTGGGTATTTCGTGGTTTTGTTTGTTTCAGAAATGCCCTTCTGCTTTTCTTGTGTTAATTCAGTGGCCTTGTTTTGTTAGATGTTGGGCATTTTGTAGTCTTTAGTTCTTTATGTCATCATAAAGAGCCTTTATGTCTTTGAGCCTTCAAGAAAAGCTGGGTCCTTCATGTTCATTTTTCCATCTCAGATCCTTGAGGAGCAAGCCTAGGTCTCGGCAAATAAAGTCGTTATTGCCCCTGTCTAGGTCCCTCATTTGCAGATTACATATCAATAAAAGTGTGGGAAGAAGATGAGGCAAGTCTGCTTTTTTTTTGGTTGCGTCACTGAAGCATACATTTCTACCAACAAATATGTGCAAATAACAGGAGAAAAGCCCAAAGTCAAATTCATATGTGGGTGCAAATGGATGCAAATGTATTACTACCTGCATCTGTGTGTATACATTTTGTTAGAACATTAGATAAGACTTGTTCATTTCTTTACACGAGTAACAGGGCTTTAGATTCAGATTTTGGTTTGGATCCAACTCCATGGTAACTTTGGGGAGAAGAAAATTTACCCTCCCCAAACTCAATTGTATTTTCTATAAGAACAAGATAATAGCTTTTAAGAAAATAGTGTTTCTTGTAGAGTGAACACGAAGTGTTTATTTGGTGCTAGATGAGTGCCTTTGACACTATGATTACAAATAACAGAAAAGTAGGACAGTGACTTCTGGCAAGCTCAAGGTCCTGAATTTGATAACTAGACCAAAAAAAAAAGTGACTTAAGCAATAAGGATGTTTACCATGTATCAATGTCTGCAGATAGAGGGTTCTATAATTCAAAACATCATCAGGATTTTTTTGGCTCTGTTTTGCTTCTGTGTTACAGAGTGGCTGCTATAGCTTTCAGTAGCATTTTTTCAATCGACAGTGTACAAAGCTGTACTAGTCCATTTTCTGTTACTGTAGTAAAATACTTGAGACTGGATACTTAAAAAGAAAGGTTTATTTAGCTTGCAGTTTGGGATGCCCAAGGGCATGGTGCCAGCATCCGGTAGATGTAGTAAAGGACTTCTGGTTATATCACAGCATGGCAGATGACATAATGATGGTGGCACATGGGAGGAAGTCACATGACAGATGAAAAACCAGAGAAGGATAGGGGCCAGGCTTTTATAACAACCTGCTCTTAAAACTGCGTGAGACCAACATTAATCCCTTCTCAGGGTGATGACCCACTGGGAGCCAAGCCTCCAGTATATGAACTTGGAGGATGTTTTGGTTACTTTTCTGTCATTGCTGAGGCCAAATACCTGACAGCCAAATTTAAGGAAAGAAAGGTTTATTTAGCTCATAGTTGGTAGAGGTTTCATCCATAATAAGCTGGCTCTAAGGCATAGGCACATGGCAGAAGGCAACAGTTCATGATTGAAGGAAACAGCAAAAGCCTGGAGCAAAAGAGAGGCGCAAGCTTCTTTTTGTGCCTTTTTTCGTATCAGGCGGCCTGCCCTGGGTGGGTGTAGCATTCACACCCCAGCACTAGAGAGTGAACCCATCACAAATCTGGATTCAGCTGCCCCTGAAAAGCCTATCCCCTCCACCCACCATGACCACATGAGGCTTTGGAGGAACATTCAGACACAAACCATGATGGGACAAAGAACATTAAACCTCTAAAACCCAAAGCATAAGGAAGGGCAGCAATAAGGGAGCTCTCCTCACTCTGCACAGGGAGAAGCAGCCTTAAGAAGCCCCAGCTGATCTGCCCAAGCCTATAGAACTGGGGGCATAGCAGCTGCGGGACCAGCACTAGCAGAAGGGAGACACTGACCACTGACGGGAACCCCTAGCCCTGGACACACTGTAGTCTGTGAGACCTGGTTTTGGTAGGAGGAAAATGAGTGACACACATGATCCATAATAGCGGCCAACATTGTTTTAAGAATATTGTAAAATCATACAGTACAGGGCCAGGGATTTAGCTCAGCGACTTAAGCACCCGTGTGGCAAGTGTGAGATTTGATCCCTGGGAAAAGAAATCATACAGTACATCTGATCTGAGATTTAATGCTCAGTCATCATTTATAAATGATGGGCTGGGAATATGGCTCAGAGCACAGCACCTGCATGGGAAGTGCAAGGTCCTGAGTTCGATTCCCAGTACAAAAAAAAATTAAGTAGTTTTATCATTTTCATCCATAGTCTTTCAGATGCCAGAGTTCTGTGTATTACATGTAAATTGTATGCTGTTTTATCACGTTCCATCTCATTAAAAGATACACGGCAGCTGTATGTGTTGCTGCATGCCTGTAATCCCAGCACTTGGGAGGCTGAGGTAGGAGGACCACTGAGTTCATGGCAGCCTAGGTTCCATAGTGAGTTCAAGGCCAGCCTGTACTATATAGTGAGACCTTGTCTCAGACCAAAACGGAAAAAAAAAAGCAAAAAACAAAAAGAACATGGAATCAAGAGTGGTGGTGCACACCTGAATTCCTAACAGGAGACCATGGTGGGAAGTTCTTCCATACTGCTGAGCATCTCGTTCCAGATACTTGAGCATTAGCTGGAAGATTACAGAGACCATCTTTTCATTCTCTCGATGCTAGGCTCTTTAAAAGAAAAGGAGGCTTGTTTCTTGCATACGTTGCGCAGGAGTTTGGGACCAAACACGACAACATAGCAAGACCTTGATTCTTCAGAAAATAAAATTTTAAAAAAGGAGGCAGAAGGCAGCTGGGCAGTGGTGGGCGTGTGCAGTATGTAAGGCAGGTGCCTGCTGAGGAGGATACTGGTGGGGCCAGCTGGAGCCAGGGAGTGTTCTGGGCTGGGAACCCGGAGCTGCTTGTTGACAAAGGAGTGAGGGGGAATAGCAGGGGACAGGGACTTTTAGTTTTAGGCCACTGTTTAGTTTTGGCTTCATTCTTCTTGCAGAATGGGGCTAGAACCCAGGGCCTTCACACTGAGCTGCATCCCCAGCCCTTTGTTTTACTTTGTATTTGGAGACCAAGTTTCACTAGGTTGCCCAGGCTGG